GAGTTCGAGACGAAGTACATGGAGATGGCGTTCGAGGATGACATTGATGCGGTCAAGGTATCAATGTTATTATTGGTGGAGCTTGTCTTGTTTGGGAGGGATAGGACTTTGAAACTGGATAATAACCTCTTAGGGGTTGTTGATGACCTAGAGGTGTGCTGTAATTACGATTGGGCCAAGATGTCTTTCGAGAAGACYATAAGAAGTTTGAAGCGTGCCCTAAAGAAGAAGGGGAAAGATGGGGGGCTGAGGAAGACATATAGTTTGTACGGTTTCCCCTGGGCATTCCAGGTATTTGCATTGATTGTTTTAGTTTTAGTTTATATTATATTCTGTTCATTTTATGTGATGTTGTTCTACGTGGTGTTGATATAGGTTTGGGGATATGAAACAATATCTTGTTTGACCGGTCGGGTTGCGCACCCTATAAAACCGGATGTTGTCCCACGCTTACTTAGGTGGAATTGCGGACATTCACCTGCGTGGATTGTCATGGAGAAGGAGATATTCCAGTCCACATCGGTAAGATCCTTCACTACATCTATATGGTGTTTAGCTTCATATAACGTGCCCTTAGTAGTATGTTTTGTGTACAGGCTAAAGTGGCTATCAGACTTTTCGCAACGGAAGCGGAAGAGAGGTTCATGGAAAGGGAATTCGAGCCATCATCCACTGACGCCTTAGATGACGAGGAACAAGCAAGCGAGCAAGTGCAACCTGCAATGGAAGGTCGTGACGCGCAGCATGATGCCACCCATGCCGATCCTGATGTCCATAACATGAATACGGATGTGAGAAGTGAGAAGAAGACGAAGAGTGGCAAGAAGCATCGTTGCAAATGCAAGTCCGGCTTGAGGATCTTGACTGAGCAGGTGGCCGCCATAGATACGCGNGATGTGAGAAGTGAGAAGAAGACGAAGAGTGGCAAGAAGCATCGTTGCAAATGCAAGTCCGGCTTGAGGATCTTGACTGAGCAGGTGGCCGCCATAGATACGCGGCTTGCGAATGTGGAACATGTAGTCACTTCTATGGACGATCGCGTCGCTGGCATGGAAGGTGACTTGAAAAGCATTCGGAAGTTCTTGCGTCGTTTAGTTAAGGTGGGTACTATATTAATACTTTTATGTCTCAATTAGATGTGCTCTGATATTATGCTTTTTGCATATAGGGTATACCAGTCGATACTTCGGTTCTTCGAAAGAACAATAGTGGAGATGGCGACGGCATTGGTGACGGAGATTCTGCAGGACCAGTTGGTGGTAGTAAGAGTCCGACTAAGGACACAGACAAACCGCAGGACGGTGTAAATGAGGCTAACAAAGGCACCGACGCAATGGAAGCGGAGCCTACGGGCCGAGGAGGTGAGGTTGGGGACGCGTTGAATGTACTGGAGGTTATGGAAACCGTGGAAGCGAAGCATCGAGATGTCGGTGGGACTTTGAAAGATTTTGAAACTGTAGAAACGAAGCAGTCCGACGTTCTAAAAACCAACCATTTGGAAACTACAGCATTAGCCGGTGTGACACAGCAAGTTACAGAACATCCGAAGGAGATACCAGTTCCACATACACTCGAGGTAAGTACGAATTATAAAGTTTTGATGCACTTCACTTGGTACCTATAGTTTGAATTAGTGACTAAACTGTTTTACAGGACGAACTATATGATGACTTTTCGGACACGGAATCGGATGAGCTCCTTGACATCCAGTCACAACCCCTAGAGAGCTCATCACACGTGGCAGACGATCATTCAGAGGACATGTTCGTTCTATCCCAGCCATTTAATCCCCCCCACCTCGTCGGGGTGAACGGAAGAGGAGAACACCATGAAAGCTTCGAGGGTCCTTCGAAGTTAAGGTTGGAAGTAAACGAAAGAAGGTCATGGTTTACAATCCCGTCGCCGATATACTGAAAGAACAGGACTCCAAATTTCAGAAGTGGCTGGATGATGCCAATAACCCACGATCAACGCAGACAACATGTTACGCAAAACGAGGCAAGCAATGGTTTCGGGATATTCTAACACCAAGAAAATGGTGTTCATGCGAGGTATGACTGCTTCCCATAGATGAAATCGGTTATATGGATGTTCGTACATTCACTTCGAACCGAAATGAAATATATTGTTGGTCCTCGCAGGTAATCGATTCGTTGGTCATGTTCGTGCGTAAAAAACTCGAATTGCGACCGGACTTGTGTCGCCGCAAGTTCACCACCGGTGACCGAGTAC